GATAAAGCTATTTTCATTAAAGTTATTTTTGTTGGGATTGATTTGCACATATACTATTGTATCTGCCGTGTGTAGTTTGTAATATTGAAAGATATTTGTAAAATTAACACACTAAATCCACCTAAATCAAGTTTTTGGCACCATTATCGGGGAAGTAACGGAAAGTAGTAGTAAATTATTTTATTTGAATTATTTTTATTTAAATAAAAAGGAGTGTTTGTAGTTTAGTTTGAATATTTTCATATTTTAGTGTGTTTTCTTATTTTAATTACTTATTGTGTTTATTTATACATATTGTAAGATCTAAAGATTTAGTGCCTTATGATTCTGAGTTAGAAAGAACTACTAGAAAAATTCAAAAATAACAAAAAGAGATAGATCACATTAGCAAACTGGTTTGTAACGTGAGTATTGCTGGAAATGAAAATAAACATCATCAGAGACCTTTAAGAGATTATCCTAATCCAACAGTAGGTGAAATTCATTTGAGTATACAAAACCCTATTGTAGTTGTAAATTCATTTGAGCTTAAACCTTCTATTATCCAAATGATACAAAATAATCAGTTTCAAGGAACACAAATTGAAGATCCTAATCTACACCTTGCTAAACATCTTACAAATTTTCTAGAATTGTGTGCTACCTTTAAATATGATGGAGTGTCGAATGATGTTGTCAGACTTAGACTTTTTTTTCATTTTCACTAAGGGTTAAAGCTGAGATGTGGTTAAACTCGTTTGCACCTAGATATATAAGAACTTGGGGAGAATTTTTTATCTAAATATTTCCAACATTCAAAAACTGCTAAGCTTAGGAAAGATATTATATCTTTTAGTCAGTCTGAAGGAGAATCAATTTATGAAGCCTAACAAAGATTTAAAGATCTCCTTAACAAGTGTCCACACCATGCATTGCAAGATTGGTTAATGATTCAAACTTTTTATAATGGATCGGTCAGATCTCTTTGAAAGATAATTGACGTTTTTGTTGGTAGATCATTAATGTCAAAACCATTTGATGAAGTATATTCTTCAATTAAAGAGATTGCTACTAATAATTTTTAATGGCCCTCTGAAAGGTTAAATCCAAAAAGTGTAGTTATATCAAAGAAGATAGATCGATACATAATGAATTATTCTCAGACATTACCTGTGCTTGAGGAAAACTCATTGGGACAAATGATAGAATCTCAATCTTTTTATGAGACCTTAAATGAAATAAATAATCATTCTAATAATCCTTATGCCAACTATTATAATCCTAGTTTGAAGAATCATCCAAATTTTAGTTGGAGTAATAATAACTCTAGTGCTGTAAATCCACAATGGAGAAACAACACTGCGAACCCAATGGGAAACTCCAACAATCATGGAAACCCAACTTATAAACCTTAGTACCCTCCAGGTTTTAAAAATTTGCAGAGTATAGAGAAAAAAATGTCAAAAGAAGAATTGACATTGCAAATGGGAAGCGAATTACAATCAAGGTGCTACAATTAGAAACATGAAAAATCAATTTTGATGTATTGCTATTGAACTTAAAAAAAGACGTCTAGGAATGTTGCCTAGTGATGTTGAAGTAAATCATAAAGATCATAACAAAGAACAAATTAAGGCTATTCAACTGAGAAGTGGAAAACAATTAGAAAACAGAGTTTAAAAGAAGTGGAAGTTGCAGTTGAAAAAGATGAGGTGGAAAATGAAAAATTTGGTGAAGATTCTCATTTTGAGTCAGAATGTCCTATTTAACCAATGAAAATCACTATAGAAAGACCACTACCTCCATTTCCTCAAAGATTGAAACAGAAAAATGGAGATAACCAATTTTTAAAATTTCTGGAGATATTGAGGAAATTGACGATAAACATTCAATTTTATTGAAGCCTTAGAACAAATGTCAAGCTATGTGAAGTTTATGAAGGATATACTTAAGAAGAAAAGGAAGTTTGTAGATAATGAGACTGTTGCACTCAGTGAAGAGTGTAGCACTATAATTTAGAAGAAGCTTCCTGAAAAACTTAAAGATCCTAGAAGTTTTACTATTCCTTATGATATTAGTGAAAATTTTTTTGGAAAGCTTTATGTGATTTAGGAGCCAGTATTAATCTTATGCCTTTATCAATGTCATTATTAATTTTTAGAAGGTTAGGCTTATGAGATATTTCACCCACAACTATAACTCTTCAGTTAGTTAATCGTTTGATTTCCCACCTTAAAGGAGTTATAGAATATGTTTTGGTAAAAGTTGATAAATTTATCTTTCTTATGGATTTTATTGTATTATATATGGAGGAAGATAAAGAAATTCCTATCATTTTAGGAAGACCATTCCTTGTCACTGGAAGAGCTTTGATAAATGTGCAGAAAGGAAAACTAACTATGAGAGTTAGTGATCAAGAGGCTACATTTAATATTACAAAATCAATGAGATACCCAACAAAAGAGCAAGAGATTTATTTCTTTAGAATGGATATTAATGAATATTTAAGCCATGAATATTTCAAAAAAACATTTGAAATAGAATTTGAAAAGGAATTTTGGAATATCAAGATGAGGATAAAAATTCAAGATGAATCAACGGAAGTGAGTAAAGAGGATTTGGATAATGTTCAAGAAAAATTTGAAAGGTTATACCCTACAAAAAGCAACAAGAAATATTATTTCATCTATTAAGAAACCACCTGAACTAGAACTAGAAATACTTTCTAAACATTTGAAGTATTAATTTTTAGAAGATTTATCTACATTACCTATTATAGTATCCTCAGAATTAACTGATACATAAGAACAAAAGTTGTTGGAAACTTTGAGAAGATATAAAAAAACCTTCGGATGGACATTAGTTGATATTAAAGGAATCAACCCTTCAATTGGTATGCATAGAATTTTATTGGAAGATCAACATGAACTAAGAGCTGATCCTTAAAGGAGATTGAATCCTATGATGAAAGAAGTTATTAAAAAAGAGAATTTAAAATGTTTAGATGCTCGAATAATATATCATATTTCAGACAGTGCTTGGGTGAGTTCAATTCACTATGTGTGAGTTTGGGTGAGTTCAATTCACTATGTTCCAAAGAAAGGAGGTGTGACTGCAGTGACAAATGAGAATAATGAATTAATACTAATAAGACAAGTCACTCGATGGCAGATCAGCATAGCTTATAGAAAACAAAATTCAACCACCATAAAGAATCACTTTCCTTTAGCCTTCTTAGACCAGATGTTGGATAGGCTAGCTGGGAACAAATATTTTTGTCTTCTTGATGGATATACTGGTGATCATCAATACCTATTGCTCTAGAGGATTAAAAGAAAACAATATTTATTAGTCCCTATGGAACTTTTTCTTTTCGAAAAATTCCCTTTAGATTATGTAATGCACCTGAAAAATTTACAAGATGTATGATGTCAATTTTTAGTGATTTGAATGAAAAAGGGCTTGAAGTCTTTATGGACATTTTTTCTATGTTTTGAACTTCTTTTGAAATATTTCTAAATCATTTAGTGAAAGTTCTAGAATGATGTGAAAAGAATAATCTTGTACTAAACTAGGAAAAATATAAATTTATGGTTGTAGGAGGAATTGTACTTGAGCATAAAGTTTCAGAAAAGGACATGAAAGTAGATCCTACAAAAATTTAGGTTATATCAAACTTAACTCCACCTACTACTGTAAGAGGACTTAGGAGCTTTTTTGGACATGTTGGATTTTATAGGCGATATAATAAAAAATTTTCAAAAATTACAAAGCCTTTATGCAAACTTCTATAATTGATTAAAAAATTTGACTTAAATTTGACTTTAACCAAAATTGTTTGACTTTAACCAAAATTGCCTTAAAGCCTTGGAAACTTTAAAGGAAAAATTGATCATTACTTCTATAATTGTTTCACCTGATTGGGAGAAACCTTTTGAATTAGGGTCCGTTTGGGGCCGCTTTTTTGCGGCTTCGCAGGCCCGAATCGCGAAAAGGAAGCGTTTGGCTCGCAGCATTGCGACACGACAAAGTGAAAGCGGGAGAAAAGCCGGAAGCTATATTCACCCCGCGGTATAGCTTTTAGCTCGCGAAAAGGATCCTTCTTCTCGGCGCTCTCCTTACCGCGTGAGTTCTTATTCCCGCCGAGCCTCCTCTAACAACCAGTCGAGCCCCGCCAAAAACCCTAGTCCCTTTCTTCTTCCCGCGTGAGTTCTTCTTCCTCGAGCCCTTTTTTCTTCCCGCCGAGCCGCATGAGTTCCTCTAGTAAAGACATTGTTTACAGAGGAGAATTGTAGAAAGAGGGTCACATCTGAGAACTGGCGGTGATTACACGATATAGCAGCGTTCGGCGGGATTCGTCGCCGCCGTCTTCCTACTCTTTCTCTCAATTGATCTGTCCCTTGCCACAGCTGAACCTCATCTCGATTAGGCTCGTGTTGTCTTTCAGGTTTATTGACTTTGGTCTACCGTGATCTCTTGATTTCCTTGCACGTTCCTTCTCATCATCACTAGGCTTGTTGTTTGATTGCATTAGGTCTCTCGCTGGATCGGGTTGCATCTCTTGTCCATCGATTGCAGCCATCTGTTTGCGAATTTGTTGTATATCTAGAATTTTTTTATGAATTTATTTTGTTTTGTTCCTTGCGGCTGTTTTTATCACTCAGAATTGACCTTAGTTTGTAGTCTTCTGATTTTGATGGTTCATACAGATTCATTTTTCTTAGCTCAGTTGAATTATAAACACAAATCGTGGTATGTCATGCCCACTTCATTAGACGTGCAAATTTGCTGATTAGAAAGCCTTTATTCGTTCACTTTGCAGACAAACTACAGAGATATAGAGTTTGGTTTCTTTCCTGAGATTGCCCCCAAGACCGTTGATCACATCTTCAATCTTGGCCGGTTAGGTTGCTATAATACGGACCACTTCTTTCGGCTCCTTATCTGTCCTCGATGGACTTTTTCTCTGATATTTCCTCCGTTTAACGAAGTGTTCAGGTCTTCTTGTAGGTTGATAAGGGTTTTGTTGCACAAGTTGCTGATGTTGTTGGGGCAGAACTGCGCCCATGAATGAAAAGCAGAGATTTGAAGCTGAAAAAACTGTGATCGGTGAATTTAGTAAGACTAAACATGTGAGAGGCATTCTTTTAATGGGGAGGTACTCCTAATTACCTCTATTTCATGAAAACTAGATTCATGTTCCATTGATTTTCTCTTCAGGGTCATCACTTCATTGATGAAGCTGGTTATTTAGTAATAAGTTTTCTGTTATGTTTAGTTATTGTAATGAGAACTTGATCAATCCTTGAGCACCTGGAGCTACACATACTCCAAAAAAAAAAGAAAGAAAAAAAGGAGTAATATAAGAAGGGGAAAGTTTATCCATTTATTTTCATATCTTATTCTCCAAATGGAGGTATTTTAAGACTACATGACTACATCAGGCTAATCAATCCAAACAATTAACCAAACTTTAACCACTTATCACACTCTTAACATCTTACATAGATTCAGAACATTACTTCTTTCTTATAATGTCCTTGATTTCAAGGTCAAAATTTCAAGTTGATCTAGCGGAAGCAGTGACCATCCGCTCAGCCACAATTTTCTTAGTGGATAGTTCTTGTACACTAGACCAACAACAAAGTCAGAAAGAAAATATTGATCAATAATCACATGCAATATTTATCAACTTCCTCTCTTAGAAACCAAAAAATTGGTATAATTTTAATATAACAGTCTTATGCAAAATTGTGTTGTCATAACTACTTGCACATCCAAATCTTTTGTAGTCTCCTTAGCAAACATGCTTGCAATGTTGTAATCTGCATTATGTACAGGTTGATCTCCTTTATCTCAAGATAATGGCCAAAGCATCCACGAATATTTTGCTGGAAGAATTCTAAGAATACATTTGTTTGTTCAAATTCATCCATTGCTAGTAATGCAATGTATAACCATCTATATGCATTGATGAAATCATAAAGCACTGCTCTTCGGATATATTTTAGTAAGAAAATATCTTATTAGTTTTGAAAATTCATTCATGCAGTGTGCAGATTATCTCAATTGAAACATGGAATATCTATGTTAAAAATTTTGAATTGGCATGGCGTAATACCAGATATAAATTGTGTTATATGGATGTTCTTGAATCAGTCCTCAGACTCTCTTCTATTGTTGATTGCCGCTTCTGTTTGCTCTTTATCTTTGTTAGATGTTGGGAGTTATCCTTCAAGATCAAGGCGTTGTTGAGCTTTTGGAGTTCTTTCTTGAGAGCACATAGTAAAGAGGAAAGAAAGGGTGGAAGGTATGACTGACATATGACTCATATGAAAATATAAAGATAAGACATTACAGACATTACTTTAGGCGGCAAGAGAGGGAAAAAAACATATTGTGTTACTTGGGTGTTTGCTTTGTAATTTTCAATGTTTGTAGTGCTCTATTTGTAACTTGTCTGATCTGTACTCAATTATTTTTGTTATATGGGAGCTGAAACAGGAGCATTTACATACATACCACTGCATTTACATACAAATTTGATGTTACGTAAAAAAAGTTTGTTTTGATTGTCTTTGTTACTTTTGCTATGTTTTTTTTTATAAAACATATAAATTGTGTGGTATGTATGTAAATTTCTCTAATTATATTTGAGGGAGGAGCTTAGATGAGTTGAGTTAAAGGGCAACTTTAAAACTCTTTATATGTTCTGTTAAATATAGTTGATAGACGAGCATCATCATCATAGTTCCTGTAGTATCTTAAATACTTGCTGCTTAAATTATTAAACTTAAAAAAAATATTCTTTTAGAAGTGAGGGTATATGAACTTTCAGTTATGTTTAAAAATGAATTTTTGCTTCAGAAGTTTCAACAATGTATTTGTTACAGTTTTTTTAAACAGTTTTAACAAACAGGGACAGCATGGTCATTTCTCCAAAAATAGCTGCCCCACAGCTGTTTTCACACAGCTGTCCAGCATGGTCATTTCTCCAAAAATAGCTGCCCCACAGCTGTTTTCACACAGCTGCACCAAACAGACAGTCAGTTTCTCCACAGTCTTTCCTGCAGTTGCTTCCCCGCAGCAGCTTCCTGAGGCAGCGCAGCTGCAGCTGAAAAGCTGTAAAGCTGCAGCTGCGCTAAACAGAGCCTTAATGTGTGATGTTAGTCATTATGCATTTGGATTTATATTAGGGAAAAAATATGATAAAATTTTTAAAGTCATATACTATGCTAGTAAGACTTAATGATGCTCAAATTAACTATACCACTACTGAAAGAAAGTTATTAGCAATTTTTTTTGCATTTATTAAGTTTATCTCATATCTAATTAGAGCTAAATGTGTTATGCATACTGACCAATTGGCTATTAAACATGTGATCATTGTCAGAGAGTAGGTAATATTTCAAAAAGAAATGAAATGACTCTTAATTTTAATTTGGAAATTGAAATTTGTTATGCATGGGGAATGAATTTTATGGGACCACTTATACCTTCATTTAGAAATATATATATTGGTTGCAGTGGATTATGTTTCAAAATAGATGGAATCAATTGCTTTACCTCAATGTGATGCTTGGAGTGTTTCAAAATTTTTAATTAAAAATATTTTTACAAGATATGGAATTCCGAGAGTAATCATTATCGACGGAGGTTCTCATTTTAGGAATGCAACCATTACAAGATTTGTAGATAAATATAAGATAATACATAAAATTATAAATGCTTATCATCTCCAGACTAGTGCTTTGACCGAAATATCTAATCATGAAATTAAAAGAATTTTGGAAAAAAGTGTGAATCTAATAAAATGGATTAGTCAGTTAGATTAGATAATGCATTATGGGCATACACGATAGCTTATAAGATACCTATAGAATTGTCCCCATATAAATTAGATTTTAGGAAAACTTGTCACTTACTAGTAGAATTGGAGCATAAAACTTACTAGGCCATTAGGGAATTCAATTTCAATTTGAAAGATGCTGGTGAGAAAAGATTACTGCAATTGAGTGAGCTTGAAGAAATTAATAATGAATCTTACGATAATGTTCAAATTTATAAGGAAAGAACGAAAGAATGATATGATCAAAAGATAATAAAAAAGAAATTTGCGCCTGGACAAGAAGTTTTATTATACAATCAAAGATTGAAATTATTTCCAGAAAAACTAAATTCTATGTGGAAAGAGCTCTTCAGAATTGCTAAAGTCTATCCCTATAGAGCTGTTAATATTGAAGATCTGAAGACTGGAAGGATATTTAAAGTTAATGGACATAGATTGAAACCATATTTTGATGGTCAAAGACCAGTTTTTAAAGAGGCTGAAATGTTGGGTCACCCAAAGTAAAGACTGAGAATGTCGGGCTGACGACATTAAACCAAGTGTTTTGTGGGAGGCAACCCATATTTATTGTTGTTTATATTGTTTCTATGTTATTGTTCAAAATATTTTATGTATATTAATATATTTGTCCTTCTATAGATTCAACATATTTGAGAAAATTTGACATTGAGAAAATATTTAAAAACATCTTATTTACCTAATTGTATGGAAAAATTAAGAATTTGTTGGATCGAAATTGAAATGGAAATTTTTTTTGGAAGTGGCACATGATATGCCAGATTGGCACCTGATGCGGCATATTCTAGAGAGCTGATGCATGATGTGCCAGAATCAGCTCAAGAAGTGTTGTGGCGATGAAAATGACTAAAACGTTTCAAATGGCAGCTTTTGGCCAATTCTTCTCCTTATAACTCCCAAAAACTAATTCTAAAGTCAATTTTAAAGGGGAAAATGAGGGAAGAGTCACTGGTTTTTAATTTCAATGGCGTCCCACCCTAAAAATTCCACTTGATTTGGAATTTTCAACCAGAGAAAGTTCATCAGTTTTGATGCGCAGAAGTTACATGATCATGTTCTTGTGAAGAAGAGGCTAATAAAAAAGGGGGTTTGTGAATCAAGGATTCAACATACCGAATACTCATGTAAAAAATATTATTGCTCAAAGACACTGTGAAGTGCTTTTCCAAACTACTGCAGTCGTAGTTGTCCTTATGGTGAAAGAGTTTTATGTAAATCTTCACTGAATCAACCAAGGAATTATCTATGTGCGAGACAAGTTTGTGCAATTCACTCCTTCAAGAATAAACAAGATGTTTATGATTGAAAATGTGCCTATTTGTCATTACACAAATTTTAACCCTACGAGAGATAATATGAATGAACTCTATCGATACCTTGCAGATGAAGATGCAAGTTGGGAGGCCAGAAATGATAAAAATGTAAGTTTTTCTTCATCATTGTTAAATCCTGCTTCTAAGGCGTGGTATTTCTTTATTGCATCAAAATTACTTCCCGCTATGAAAATCAATAAGGTAACTAAGAAGAGTGTTATTCTGAACTATTGTAACAAATTAAAAAACCGATTGATATTGGAGAAATAATTCTAAAATCGATTTTGGTTTTGATTTTCAATGGATCTGCAACTGGATTGGGGCATCCATCCACTATTTTACTACTATACAGTCAATCGCAAGTACATTATGAGAGTTGGGAGAAAGTGCTTCCTCCTTGGAAGCCGATGGATCTAAAAGTCTATTGCAACTGTATTGGAATGGGAGATGTAAAAGATATGAATGTACTGATGGATCAAGCATCCCAGAATTTATCACCTATTCAGCCTTACTTCAGTTAGAATGTATTTTTTAAAAGTATTAATAATATAGAAAACCTAATGCATGCAATTAGGAATGTTTCTGAAATATTGGATCACCTAGATTGGAGACTAAAGGAATATTTTGAACATACTGGTCGTATTGAAGATGGTTTGGTACATAGGTTTGGTACATGGTACATATGTTCAAGAAACATGATTGGATTAGGGAAGATTCAACTGATGACTTTCCTTATATCCTTATCGACCCTTCTACAACTTGTATGTACACGACCAATCTATGGGAGATATCTTGGAGGACGAGCGAAAAAGATGTTTAAACTTAATTTATGCATCGAACATTTTGTTTACTACTGCTTATTTGTTTTAATGTCTTATGTTGGATTGCATTTACTTTTTTTTTGTTAAACTCTTACGTTTTTGTTTAGTATTGTGATGTTTAGATTTCAATGTTAGGATGTTTCAGTTTTCTTTGGACACTGAAGGAGATGTTTGTTGGCTTGCAAAATGTTAGTTTGTAATAACATGGATTTTTTATATATAAGTGAGCTTTGTGTTGTTTTTAAAAGTTTGGTGTTAGAGTAATGTTTAAATTATGATTATAAATGTTCATTTTAGTTAATTAGAGGAGGATGTAAAGCAGTACGTAATAGATTTCCACAGAAAATGAAATCTTGAAAAATCAAAACGTTGGCGCCAGATGAGCCAAATTAGCGCATGAAGTGCCAGTTTACAGAGAGTTGGTGCATGATGTACCAGATTTGGCGCTATATACGCCAAAGTCTCAAAAACGCCAGATTGCCTAAAAATCGTGAAATCGTACAGTAATCTCCATTTTTACTATTTGGGTCGTCTCCTACCTCTAAATTGTGACAAACTATGACCTGGGGCTTCACATTATGTACGTTAGAGAAGATTTCGGAGGCCAAGATTTCGAAGGCAAAAAGATCTTAGATTTCATCTTCTCATGGTAAGAGCTTCACTTTAACCTAGAAATTTTTTATTTCCACCAAGGATTTTTTCTACATTATGGAAGATCCAAAATTTGAGATTTTTCATGGAAAAGCTTGAAGAAAATTCATGGTGAAAAGTTTCTTACTAAATAATCTTACTTGGGGAGTTAGACCTTTTTTTTTTAAATTTATTTGGATTTTATTTAAATTTTCATAGAAATTCCAATCGCTCCACGAGTAAAGAAATGAAAGCCGACAGTTGATTTTGACGCAAGGATATTCATGAATTTCAAAGCCTAACATTGTTATAACACTCAAATGGAATAGAAAGAGTTGATCCAGAAACAGGTACACTCAAATGGAATAGAAAGAGTTGATCCAGAAACGGGTATTTGTGCATTTTCTAACCCAGGTGGCGAGATCGAGAGGTTGATCGTCGATAGAAATTGGAAGAGGTTTTGCTACTTCATTATAGTAGAGATTGTACTAATGATTCGAGAGTTTTTATGCCAACTTGAGGTTTACCACGGACAATCACCTCCTTGTGAGAGGTAAGTAAGTTGAATTTTCAAGAGATAGGATCAATGCATTTTATGGACTGAGAAATGTATTCCATTGCAAATACGTTGCATTAATGATGAACAACTCATCACTAGATGAAGTGATTACTTTTTTGACTGATGTAAGAGGAGGAAGGAAGATTAAAAATAATAAGAAAGTTAACTTCTCTTCTTCCATGATGACTACTCAGTCAAAGGTATGGCGCCACTTCATCTCTGCTAAATTACTTCCAAAAAATCATCTAAGTGGAGTAACGAAGGATAGTGCAGTGCTAAACTTCTGCATTAAGAAAATGATGGCAGTAG